ATACAGGGGTGGATGGACATGTGGTAATACAAACCTAGTAAAATGATGATGGTAGAATTTACTGGTGCATATATGGTAAAATTTTTCAACTGCAATGTACATTTAAAATTTTTCATAATAAAATGTTGAGGAAAATGTTAATATTTCTACAATAAAATTAATTTAGCAGTGTGTTTTAAAGACTCAAAGTACCCAGGCAATTTAGAATTTTAAATTAATTGAAGTAGGGAATTTTTGTTTTAAAAGTCCTCACCCCTGATTTGTGAAGATCCTTTCTTTAACATAGAGATGAATTAACACGATAAGTATTGTGGCAAGGGTAAGATAGTCTCTTCACACATCTCATTTGCAAGTAAATAATTCTCTCCTCTCTCCTGGATAGACATGTTGGGAAAAGACCACTGGAAAAAAGTTCTTCCAAACATCAATGTCAAGCCCTTTTCAACCCACCACACTACTATTCACTAAATATAAACGTAACACAGATTAAGGTGAAAAATAATCTGACTATTGCCAGCCTGGGATAACTGGATTTATTTTCAGGGGTATGGTTCCTGATCAATAATGTTAACAATTTTATTCAATATCAAATTGAAATTGCACTAAGCAAAAAAAAAAAAAAAAAAAAAAAAAAAAAAAAAAAAAAAAAGACGTAGAACACAATTCACACAGACCTTTGCTATTCCAAGCTTCTGTTTTATGAATTGTGATTAATGGCAATAATTCTATCATCTCTTCTCTCTGTAAAATGCTAAAACTTGCTAAAGGCACTCATATTCTGGGCTTAACGGAGACAGGGTCACATGGGACCACAAACCAGTATTGTTTTTTTGGTAGCTACCCAGAAAGGGAGTTTACAAATGATCTTCCCATTCATAATGGGAAGAAAAGGTCAAAGAGCTATCAGTAGGAATGTCGTATGAGAAGCTATTTACACAGCTATTTGTCCATTCAGCTAGACCGATAGTAATAACTTACGATGGTAGAGGTCCACAACCCCCCCCCAAAAAAAAAAAAACCCAAAAAACAAAAGCAACAACAAAACACTATTATGTATGAAACTCCTGAACAATGATTTGGCTGTTAAAAAAAAAAAAGTTGGCAAGGTGGAATATTTTTCAAGCATTTGTTCAAAAGCCTGCATTAAACTTTTGCCTATATTGACAAAATATTTCTATTTCTAAGGAAGCTTTATTGTTCTTAGTATATGCCTCACCAAGTTCTTCAAAGAGCACTTCCAGCCTACATCCTGATATTAAGGAAACAAAATAGGTTCCAAATATACCATCCCTAGACCTCTCTGTAGAGGATACTCCGCCTAACGGTTACATGTCTCCCCTGACACAAGTAAGGCTCTTTTTTACACAGGTCACTGGACAGTCCTCAAGTTGTCATTGCTCATGGTCCCAGCCAATTCAGGAGTGAAGAAATCCTAAATCCCACCGCTAATCTTTAGAATCTATCTACAGAGAAAGATTTAACCAAATATATATACATATGTTTATATATAAACATGAAATATATATTTCTCCATTTATCTTCATTGAAAGTGTAGATAGGTAGCTATAAGCAAGCATTATCAGTTCTATAGAACAGCTTTATAAAACAAGGTGGAAGATTTCATGCTTCCCTTTAGCATGTTTAAGTCAGAGGAACATAAGGATGATCTCAGACAGCCATGATTCTTCATTCAATCTCAGGGTTTCAAAAATCCTAAATGGTTTTCTAAGTTTACCAACTAATTACAAGGGGAAATAATGAGGGAGTTGGAGAAGTTACTTTTTCTAAATGAATGGTATAAAATATTATTCATCTTGCAGAATCCAGTGCAATAAGAGACAAGCAGACAAATGTAATAAAAAAAACATGCACATATTTACAAGTTGCAGTACATAATATACAAAGACAAGACCAACAAAGTATTTTTCTGTTCAATGTGGAGTCAAAAGGATTACATGGCACACTCAATTTTGTAGCTTAACCTTTTGAAAAAAACACTTCAAAGGCATATGCAATCCAACCTTTTAATTGGAACATGGAATTTTTCCTTTACAACTTCTTGCCCTCAATATCTTAAGAGTTTCTAATTGTTATCTTCTAACATTGACTTTGAATGACATCTTACACAAAGATATTCACAGAGAAAAGAGACTTTGATGCTATGAGTTCTTGCAGATGATTACTGAAATCTATTTGTTTGACTCAAGATTTTCCACTGTTTAGGCCTCTGTCCATCCTTGTATACAGCATATAAAAAGATACTAACATGACTCCTGGGGAGCACAGGGTGCAAATTCTAAAGCACATTACAGAGCGGGAGTGGACTTCACAACATGAAACCAATGGAGATCACTTATCACTGCAGCAGGAACAACAGCCTTCTTCGACAGGGGAAAAAACACTGTCTACAGGGAATGTATGAATGTGAGAAATTGTACCATGCAGAGATGTGTTTATTTAGGTATTTCCTTTCTGACAACCTCTGTCACCCTTTGTTTCACCTATGGAATATAGGAGAATATTGCAAGATAACAAGCCCAAAACAACCCATTGTCACAGAGATTTGTGGGGTTTTTTGTTTTTTGTTTTTTGGATGTGTATGTAACCTCTATAAATGATCATGGAAGTTATCAACTTCCTACAGTTTGGAAATTAAGGAGCAAACTGAGTTATTGTAGGCAATATGGTATCTAAAGTGTCATATAAAACAAACACATAGCTCTTTTTTAGTGCAAAGAAATAGAGCAAGTAAGAAATAACACTATAAATCTAACTTTTCTTTAAAGAAAATGCGTTTATGCATTCATAACATCCATTAAGGGCACTGGGAGACTGGAAACCTGAATGTGCAAGGCCAGGAAAAACATCAAGGCCTTTAAGTCCACTGCTTTTTGTACATATGTAATGAGATTGTTAAGTGGGGAGAGTGGGTGAAATCCTTCCTTTAATTTTATTTGTAAAGGAAAAATGGAAAATAGATAAATGCCACTTTTACAAACTGTAAATTCTTATTCACAGTCCTTTACTGTTATCTGAAATAAAGATCCAATGAAATTTTCTCTATGGTATCACATAAACATATGTGTGTATATGTATATAAATATATACACACATATATGTGTGCGTGTGTACATATACATACACACACACACACACAGAGACATAAAGAGAAAGAGGGAAAAATGAGATTTTTAAATAATTATAGAACCAAGTGGCCAGCACTGTTATATTAAAATCTACCAAAAAATTATACTTAGCAGCAAAATGAGTAACCTACTGACCAATGAAATAAGCTCTAAATTGCCCTAAACAAATCAATTATATAAAAGGATTATACTATGAGTCACAAGTCTAGATAGAATCTCAATAACGTTATTTCATTCTTCTATTTTGGGGAGAAAAAAAATTACTAAACAATTTTACTATTTTTCAAAAAACCACTTCAACCGAAGGGCAACTTGATACTGAACTAGAGGTTAATCCCAAAACTGAATTTTAAATACATATCTAGATTGCTCAAAACCTGTTCATAAGTATTAAAGGAAAAGAATGACAATGATAATTTCCTTCTCATCTCTTTGCTTATAGAATTCCCAAGGGAAAAAGGAGTTTCATTTTTAATTAGTAATGTAAGCAATCAAATGTGAATTGACCATAGTGCAAAGATACTACTCAATATAAACTTCCTGGTGAATGTGGCCTTTCAAAAGAACTATGGATGAGCACCAGTCTTATCCATGTAACTATAGTAAGTAGATAAAATACAAGTAATGAAAGTTCATAGGGTACTCCATTAGTTAATCTAGCCATACACTAGAGCTTCTTATTTTGAAAACAAGAAAACAAATAATAATACTGTTGTAATTATCAGATACCAAAGTACTCCATAATGTATTTCTATTATCTTTTAGAAAGCTAAATTATAAAGAAACCAAAGTTCATGTATTTTACTATTGGAAATTATGCTACTAAAATTTGATTAACTTTTTTTAAATTCCTCTCTATTTATGAAACAGTAAGGTAGTAGTATTTTCTCAGGACAGCCAACAAACTGGCAAGACAGGAAAGAATGTACAATGTAAGGATCAGTTTATCAAAAAAGTCTGCCAAAACAAATGTCAAGAGAACTGAATTTAGGATCAAGACCATCATACAAGTACATGTTATTATCAGTGAATAGCTCTAAAACCATCCGAAAAATATCTTTGTAAAAAATAGCATATCTATCTTACACTCACTGGATATTGGAATGGGGGGCTTGGAAAGCCCATAATATGGCTGGGGCATGAGAATGAGCTTATTTTACAAGCTAATTCAACCAGGACGGGGAGGGGCAGAGGAGGGGAAAGGAAGAAGGTGGCATTTAAATGAATGAAATCCATGACTGGAAATGAAATTTCACCATTTGGAAGTCTACAAGCACATTGGAAGTGTATGAATCCATGAAAATCTGCATTTCAATAATGGGAAGACATGATAATGGGAAAACATGTCCTGGGAAAGACCCTAATGCAGTTTACAATAATAGTATATCCTACTGACAAGGCATTGCGTTGAGGTGGTTCCAAAGAAGCCTTGGGAAACCAAAATCTCTGCTTACCTGTTGTCACCGTTATCTGAAGTAAGAACTCAAGAATATTCTTAACAGTACATAAAACTAAAATTGCAAAAGAAGGTGAAATTTTCAAATAGTTAAAGCTCTAAGTGATCAGGCTACTAGTTGACCAGAACTCGGTCAAGATAAAAAGTTATTTCTCATGGGGTAGGTAGGTCACATGCTCTAAGCAGCTCAACACAACTGACCTGAAAACGCATCGTGACCTAAGAAGCACATTCTTTACCTTCCCCAGTTTTGACATCTCACGGTACCACTGCAGGTTACATATATTAACATTAAGCAGAGGAATGTACTTATATCAAAAGGACCACAAAAGCAGGGCATGTCGACAGAAGGCAAAACACCAGGCAGGCAAAGCTGCTCTCTCTGAATGTAACAAGCACTATACATATCCCAGGTTCTCCATCTCGTTCCTGTACCGCTGCTCAGACACCTTGCTTTTATGTTGCTTGCTCTCTAAATGCTGCCGGAACTCCATCTCTTCGCCAGCCCCGACATTACACATGGAGCAGTAAAACCGGCCACTTGGAGTCACACACATGGCCAGATCACGGGGGATTCTCTGCCGAGAGCGGGGATTGAAGTAAGGACCTGCTAAAGCAAGAGATGAAAGTAGTGTAGTCACTTCAAAATATTTACTCAATAAATGATGGCAGTCTGGCTGATTATCACTGTAATTTGTCACTCTAAGTTCAAATTATAAAATTCACTGAACTCCCAGCTTTAAAAGAATGCAAAATTCCCAGATTTTCTTAAATTACAATTTTATACAGGTGCAATCTAAAAAGCTAAAATGATTCCTCCAACTATCATCAGAAAGGTTACCGTAGAGCCAAACCCAAACTCAAAATGGCAATGTCTCTAAAAAGTAAATAAAATTTTAAAAACTGTTTAACTTCCAAACATTACATGGAAACTTTTGTGATTACGCTAACTCATTAATCCAAAACTTCGACTTCTAAGAATTATCCCAAGAAAATACTGAGAATTTTTGCACGGAGATTTGTCAACAAGGACATTATTTATGACCAGTGTTCATATAAGTTTTTATCAGAGGATATGGGGAAAGGAGAGATCAAACACATGATTTGAACAATTACGGTAATGGATGCAATGGAAATCCATGCAGTCACCATAAGTAACAAAAACTCTTTGATTACATGGAAACGTAATTATAATATGCTACTAAGTGAAACAAGAATATCACAAAATATAATCGCATTTCTATTTTAAAGAAGTATACAGATGGGAATGACATATACAAAAACGTTGGTGGGATTACTAATAATTTTATTTTCTTTTTACATAACTGACTTCTTTTTTTTTTTTTAACTATGTTAAATTGAATTTATTAGCCTGTGCATTCAAAAAAAGGTAATCTAGGGGCTCCTGGGTGGCTCAGTCAGCTGAGCATCTGACTCTTGGTATCAACTCAGGTCATGACCCCAGGGTCGCGGGATTGAGCCCTGCATCAGGCTCTCCACTGAGCATGAAGCCTGTTTGGGATTCTCTCTCTCTGCCCCTCAACTCAGCTTACAACTCATACTCTCTCCCTCTCTCTCTCTCAAAAAGAAAAAAGTTAATCTATAATTATATAAATAAATTCTTTAGAATTCAAAATATGCAATGTGACGTATTTATACGTAAACCAAATTATAACTAATGTATTTTAAGTTGGGGAGGTTGTTTTTTTGTTTGTTTTTTGTTTGTTTGTTTTTTGAGAGAGAGAGACAGAGTGCAAATGGGGAGAGGGGCAGAGAGAGAGGGAGACAGAATCTGAAGCAGGCTCCAGGCTCCGGAGCTGTCAGCACAGAGCCCACGGTGGGGCTCAAACTCACAAACCGTGAGATCATGACCTGAGCCAAAGTTGGATGCTTAACCAACTGTGCCACCCACGTGCTCCTTGGGAGGGTTGTTTGTTTTTATTGAAGTATACCTGACACATCATGTTACCTTAGTTTCAGGTGTACAACATAGTGATTCGACGATTCTATACATTATGCGATGCTCACCACCAGTGTAGCTGCCATCTGTTACCATACAACACTATTATAATACCATTGACTATATTTCTTATGCTATACCTATTATCCTCTGACTTATTCATTCCATAGCTGGAAGGCTGTGTCTCCCACTCCCCTTCACCATTTTGCCCAAGCCGCCCTCCCCTCCCCTACTAACTATTTGTTCTCTATATTTTAGCATAATACCCTCTAGGTCCATCCATGTTGTTGCAAAGAGCAAGATCTCATCCTTTTTTATGATTAATATTCCATAGTGTGTGTGTGTGTGTGTGTGTGTGTGTGTGTGTGTGTGTGTACGCACATGCCTGTACACACCACATCTTTATCCATTCATATACTAATGGATACTTGGGTTGCCTCCATATTTTGGCTATTACAAATAATGCTGCAATAAACAGGGGTACATATATCTTTTCAAAATAGTGTTTTTGGGGTGCCTGGGTGGCTCAGTTGGTTAAGTATCCAACTTCAGCTCAGGTGATGATCTCGCAGCTGGTGAGTTCAAGCCCCACATCATGCTCTGTGCTAACAGCTCAGAGCCAGGAGCCTGCCTGCAATTCTGTCTCCCTCTCTCTCTGCCCTTCCCCCATTAGCGCTCTGTCTCTCTCTCTTCCTCTCTCTCTCAAAAATAAATAAACATTTTTAAAAAATAGTGTTTTTGTTTTCTTTGGGTCAATACTCAGTTATGTAACTGACTTAAGTTGGACCACTGCTTATTAATTTTCTGCTTTTCTTTTCTACTGTAAGAAATACTTAAGACTTTTCTCAAGATATTATTTTCACTGAATCCTACAGTTTAATCTATTTTTATTACTGTTTGGTTTTAAGAATTTTTAATTTCCAGTATGATTACTTCTTTGATCCATGAGTCATTTAGAAGTATTTTAAAATTTCCAAACGGAAATTTCATAACATTTTTTTAAACGTATTTTTTGATATTGACCTCTCATTTCATTGTATTCTGGCCAGAGAATATAGTCTAAACTGCCATCTGTCCTAAAGTTTATTTTATGTAATTTTTAATTTTTTAAATGTTTACTTATGAGAGAGAGAGAGAGAAACGCAGAGTGCAAGCAAGGGAGGGGCAGAGACAGAAGAAGATACAGAATCTGAAGCAGGCTCCAGGCTCTGAGCTGTCAGCATAGAGCCTGACGCAGGGCTGAAACTCACGAGCTGTGAGATCATGACCTGAGCCGAAGTCAGATGCTTAACTGATGGAGCCACCCAGGCACCCTACTTTATCTAAAATCAATACAGCTATCTCAGCTTCCTTTCAGCTGAATTTTTTATCTAATCTTATAACACTTGTCTTTAAACTGGGACCTCAGTAAATTTACACTTACTATAATTACTGACATATATCTGAACTTCTATTAATCCTATTACATTGTGCTTTCTATATGTCCCTTTTTTCTATGCTTCTCTTGCCTTTCCAACTAACTTTTTTTTTGTTTTTTTGTTTGATTTACTGTTCACGTGAATTACCTCTGCTGATATGTGTGTGCACTGGAGGCTGTGATGGGGAGAGAATGAAGGACTATTCAGTTCAACTCTCCCTACTGCAGATAATCAGAAAATGCAGACAACATTCCTCTAAAGTGGCAGTTCTAAACTGAAGGTGTATATGAGAATCACTGAGGAAGCATTTTCAAACCACACATATGTCTGGGTCCCACTCCCAATTTACTGACTGAAAATCTCTAAGTCATGGTTCAGGCATGTGTATTTTGTAAAAATTCCCCCAATAAATCTGATTCACCACCCTACTTAAAAGCCACTGCTATAATCTTTATTTTCCCCCCAAAATGAAGATTTAACATTGTACAACTTTAAACCAAACAGCCCATTTTTATAATGCATTTTACATTTCTCAGCAGGCAAACACCAGGAGCAGTATAAAGGACTATGATCAGAGACCTTAAAATAAAAATAAATAATATACCTCAGCATAAATAAATGAATGAATGAATAAATAAATAAATAAATGTTTGGAAATAAATGCCAACTTGAAAAGCCAGTAGACAATTGAACAAAACAATTAGCTAGCCCCAAATTCTCAGGACTACTTATTCCCATTAAAGGAAATAAAAATAAAGAAGACCATCTGCAGAATGTAGCCAAGGTATGTGGAAATCCACAGGATACCTGAATTATTCTGTACCGTATACATATTCCTCCTATTAGGCATCATCTTATACTCATTCCCTTCTTTCCGGGTCCGCCGCTGACCCGCCTCAGAGGATTCCCTGGAGAAAAGAAATTTTAAAAGAGTCAGACTTCTAAACAAGGATCCCTTTCAACTCTTTTTTTCTAGACAGTCTTACACAACACTTTGGCCTCAGAGAAAGTGGCAATACCTACGAGAATGAGTTACTCTGAGCTTCCGCCAGCCGCAGCCTCTTGGCATGATTCTTCCCTTGATAGTGAGCCTGAGCCACAGCCGGAGAACTAAAGGAGGCATCACAGAGCTTACAGTAATCGTTCTCTGTGGCCAGGATCACTCTGCCTCCCGGCTTAAAGGAGCCCATCTGACATCAAAGACACAAGAGACAAAGTTAAAAAAAAAAAAAAAATGTGAAGTTTATTCCCTTCTTTCCTTCAAAGTTCCCTCTAAGTGTTGAAAGATAAACAAAGGTTATGGTATGACCACAGCATTCGGCTTTATAAGGAAAGGACATAATTCATTCCAGAAAAAAAAGCAACAACAACAGAGAGAAAAAAAAAATGTTGAGAGACAATGTGGTTTTGTATTACAATCACCTATGTACCGAACTGGTTAATGGCTTGTTGCTATCTCCATGGAGAAATTTTTTAAAAGAAACATAGAAGATTCAGGGCAGTACAGATAAGGCCTAATATCACATTATCAGAAAGGTAAAGTCCATCCAGAATCCATCAGCAAGCCTTTAATGAATGCCTACTGCTTTTAGGGCTTGCTACCTAATGCAGAAGGGATATACAGACATATATTTACAAATGAGCCCCTCTCCCAAAGAGTCTAAAAATTAGCTACAGATGTAACTGGGGAAAAATAACCAACAGATTCAGACAACTGTATTCAGCTGAGAAACGAGTTATGAGAAACCTAACACAGTGCCTGGAAGATAGTATCTACTCAATAAATACGGTTAACAAAAAAAGACAAACTAGATTTTGGCTAGAGGAGAATAAAATACATAATAAGGAGCCTGGAAAGCATATCGTATTAGGACCAACTGAGGGAAACAGTATTGTTTCATCTGGTCAGAAAGATTTTCTGGGGACAGGATAGCTGTCTCCAAAAATCACAAAGGGCTAAGCTGTGAAAGAAGGTGATGGCTGTTTGCTCAGGAGGCAGACACCAGCTGAAAACAGTCCCCAGCCAGGAGTGACCATCTCATTCCAGAGCAGCCTTGAGGAATAAGGGCCCTGTAAACTGCTCAGCCTGAAAATCTGTCTGGGTATTTTCCTGTCCTTTGACTCTGTTTTTACCTTCTCTCATTTACCCCACAAACTCGTGAGGATGGAAAGATAGCTGGAATGGCTGTCCACACTTCAAATACTGGAAAACTGATGTTCAGACAAGAAAAATTATGCTGTCATGGTTAGTAGAGGTCCAAGGTCAAAAGAAATTCTTGTTCCACCAATTCACAAAACATGTAATGCCATGGACAAGTTACTTAGCTTACCTGAGCTTCTAATAAATGTCCAGCTGAGACAAATGTTGCTGGCCCATGGATTACATGCCCACTAATAAGGCCAATACCTCTACGTTCTTGGAAGCACTAAATGCAATCAGGGTCCAGGACTAGAATGAGGCAAGATAAGCATTTGCCATGGGCATGAAATTTAAGGGTGTATCAAAAAACTCAGCCATCAAGATAAATAATATTTTAACGGAACATTCTTACAAATCAAACCTGATGCCAAAAGAAATCAATGTAAACAAAGTATCAAAATTTTAAATACAGACAGGATCAGGAATAGCGCCATGCCAAGCCATATGGCAGCCAAGGCAGAAGGAAAAATCAGTAATACCTACCCTATCTTTAAGTTGTTGACATTTTGTTTACTACTGATTTTTTCAAATTAATTTTGGATTTTTACAATATGACATTAAAATATTTATCTTGATAACTGTTTTGGCTCCCTCTTAATTTTTGTGCCTAAGTCAAGTACATCCCTGACCTCATCTTAGTCCCAGCGCTGAATGAAGTGACGCATGAAAAGTGCTTAGCAGAGTGCCTGGCATAGTAAGTGCTCAATTAGAGTTATTATTATCTATGACCATGTATTGTTCTACGGACAAAGACAGATGAAGGAACACAATCCATATTTCAGAGACTGTTACCGAGTACAGGATTTCTTGCCTCAAACACCTGCTTTACCTACTAAAGAGTGAAAGAACTTGGCTCACCAGTATGTGTCATTACACCAAAGTCCAGATAAAGTTTATACAGGCTCTCGCCATAGAGGTAAGAAAGCGGTAATCTGAGAAAACTGACCTTGCTGGAAGGCAAACAGGAAGTCAGGGGGATTAACTATAATAAAGATATAAGTGTTTAAGAACCTCTCTTTTCATTCAGAGCTTAGCCTAGACATTCAGACTTATTTAACCCAGAATTTTGAGAAATGCTTAGAGAAAAGTACATGTACCAATATTTGTTTCATCATTTCATGCATCGCAACCAAAGCCAATGAGAAATCTCGAGGGTTATGGATGTTGGCAAGCTTTACATCCAGCACTACAGTTCAAGGAGTTAAAAGTACCAAGGAGAACCTTTTGGGAGTATTTGCCCAACTGTACCTTGATGGGCTCATGGATGACAAATTTCATCCATGACCACTTGTGCACAGGACAACTTCCACCCTGACACACGCATCTCACCTGTGGAGGGACCGGAACCGCTGGGGTGGCCACAGGTTCCACCACGCTGCTCATTCTGGCAGCAGGAGGACAACTGTTTGCTGCATAGTAATTTCGGAGTTTCTTACCGTGATTTTTACCCTAGAAGTAAAATGAAATGAGTAATCACCATGAAGAAAATCTGTCAAATTGAGTTAATGTACTCACTAAAAACACAGAAATAAGGGGAGAAAAACCCAAGCGATGTTACCTACATTTTATTTTTTCAGATATATGCAACAGTGGGGTAAAGAGACTACTAGATCTTAAAGTAAAAGAGTCTACTCTTTGGTTCCGATAGAATGATTTATCTGGGAAAGATGAGGGAACAAAGCCAAAAAAATCTGAATTTCCTATTATTTCTGGAAAAGTATTGCATTTTCCAGTGATCTATGTCCTCCCCCAACTTGTTGCCATTCATACGCCACTGCCTAAATATGAGTTTTATTGCACTCTGATCTAATCTACTTTATAAGTCAGTAATGAAATGGATAATCCAGTTATTTTTACAAAAATAGCACTTGCAGAGTATCTTTTTACTTGCAAAGGACTCTCCTGTGCATCAGCTCATTTGCTGCTCACAAAATTTTCTGTAAGAGGAATTTGTTACTATTTCCCACACATGACAGCTGAGGAACTCAATCTGGAGACGGTGGAGGACTTGCCCCTGGCACCTTCAGCTGGGGTGAGAAGTGGAGCCAGAGCTTGGGACAGGCCCTCTGTATTGAGAGCAAGCCCCTTTTGACTATATCAGGATGGCTTCGGGAGGCACTGTGTACCTCTACTAAAATGCATTTGCCTCTCTCGGTGTGTTTTAAGTTGTTATTCACACGATTATATTCCCTGAACTGACAGAAACTTCAAGCCTGTAGGCAAACATTCATTCACCATCTACTACAGGCTAAGCCCTAGAAACGAAAAGACCCAGCACACACTCAAGAGGAGGAGACAGATATATAAGCAGGTAATTAAAGTAAGGCGATAAATTCTACCTTCTGACCACTGGAATGCCCTAAAGGTGCTTTTGCCAAAGTCACGTGACCTCGTGGTCAAACTCACATCTGTGGCTTCACCACATTCTAACTCTAAGCAGCATGACACCATTGCTACTCCCTTCTATTGTCTTCTGTGACTCCCACTTACCTCCTGACTTCTCATACTCTAAACTCTGCAACATCCAAAGCTCCACCGTTGGCCGTCTTCTCCATCTACATTATTTTACCCTCATAGCTTTAAAATAATCAACAAGTTAGTAGCTCCCAAATTATCTATCTCCATCCCTATTTTGGACTGAAGGATTGTGTCCCACCAAAATTTGTATGTGGACATCGAATCTGGAGGTGGAGCCTTTGGGAGGTGATTAATCACTGTCCTTATAAAAAGAAGGCCAAGAGCTCCCTCACCCTCCTCATTCTGCTATGTGAGGATCCAGGGAGACGTTGGCTGTCCGTAACGTGGAAGAGGACCTTGCCAGAATCCAACCATGCTAATACCCTGATCTCAGACTTTCGGCCTCCAGAACTATGAGAAATGAAACTCATTCTAGCTCCAGGGCTTTTGTACTTGCTGTTCCTTTTGCCTGGAATGTTCTTCTTTCAGTTCTCTGCATGGCTAGCTCCTTCTTATCTTTCAGGTCTTAACTCAAATGGCATCTCACTGAATGCCATCCTCCCCTACTCTGCACACACATACTCTCTAACACGTTACCACACCGTCTGGTTTATCCTAGTTCCACTTAGCATGATCTGAAATGACACTGTTTGGTTGGTTTTTTATCTCTTTTGTACTTTCTGGAATGTAGACTCCTTAAAAATAAGGACCTGTCTTGTTTACTCTTCTATCTCCAATGTCTAGAACAGCTTCTAGGCACCTGTCTGGTTCAGCCGGTAGAGTGTGCAGCTCGGGTTCGTGAGTTTGAGCCTCACGTCAGATGTAGAGATTACTTAAAAATAAAATAGTAAGTAAATAAATAGATCTAGAACAGTTTGTAGCATATAGCAGGCAATCAGTAAAGATTTGTTGGCTAAATGAACCAAGTATTATAATGGAGATAACAAATACACTGCCAAGAGAACGCAAAAAAGGAATTTCTTAACTCTGGCTGAATGTGTCAGAGAAGGCTTCCCTGAAAAGGGGACAATCAAGTAATCTTTTAAAATGAGCAAAAGTTTACCAGGCAGGTAAGGAGTGAGGGGAAAGAAAATTGTGAACAGAAGAAATACTGTAAGGAAATACTGTAAGCAAAAGCCCAGCCTGCCCTATTGAGGAATCACAAGAGAGACAGTCTTCTGGAGAAGAGAAGGACTTGAGATACATAGTGGGCTTAATGGCGAAACAGATCTTGGACTTCAGAGGCAGCAGGGAGCCCCTGAAGGACTCAAAGCAAAGTAGTTACATGACTGGATTGCATTTGATAAAAATCAACCTGGAATTAGCACGGGGGATAAGTCAGAGTAGATCAAAGCTGCAGCTGGATAGATGGAACAGAGCTAAGGACAAAGCCCTGGGACAATATAATGTAACCGTGTAGTAAGAATGAGGATCAAGAAAAGGAGATTGAAAATGTCTGGTCCATCAAATAAAATGAAAACCAGACAAGTATGGTATTATGGAAGCTAGAATAAAGTGTTTCAAAAGAAGAGTCTAATTAGATACATTATGACCCAGGAACTGTACTACATATCACCAAACAGAAACATACGTATAAGGAGATATCTATAAGTGTTCCTAGGGGGCGCCTGGGTGGCTCAGTCAGTTGGGTGTCCAACTTCAGCTCAGGTCATGATCTCACCATTTGTGAGTTTGAGCCCCACTTCAGGCTCTGTGCTGACAGCTCAGAGCCTGGAGCCTGCTTCGGATTCTGTGTCTCCCTCTCTCTCTGCACCTCCCCTGCTCACACTCTGTCTCTCTCTCTCAAAAATAAACATTAAAAAATTTTTTCTTAAAGCATGTTCCTAGAAGGACTGTTAGTAACATTGAAAAGTAAAAATAATTGAAGTGTCTATCTACAGGATAATGCATAAATCATAGTCTGTTCCTACAATGAAACACTATACAGTAGTGAAAAATAAACATTCCAGGGCCATGCATGGCAACGTGAACGATTCTAACAACATGCTGAATGAAAAGAACAAGTTGCAAAAGGAGATATATAACAATAATTTTTTAATATGGGAGTTAAAAATATGAAGAGCCACTACAGTTTACATAAGGAAACAGTATGTAGCAAAAGTACAAAAAAGTAATGGAACAATAAATATCAATTCAGTACCGTAGCTACACTTAGGAGCACAGGAGAGGATACAATTTGGGAAGGGATGCATGGGGGCTTCAACTGAATGGATAATTTTCACTCTTTCAGCTTGACGGCAAATATGCAGGTTCATTATCTTATTTTTGTGCTTTTTTATGTCTGAAGTATCTCATAAAAATTTAAAACAATACTAACAACGACAAGAAAAAAAAGAGTTGTTCACCAGGTCAAATGCTACTGTGGGGTTGAGTAACGTCAGGACAGAGAAGTAATGCTTGGATTTAAAATCAGAGGTTGAGGGGCGCCTGGGTGGCGCAGTCGGTTAAGCGACCGACTTCAGCCAGGTCACGATCTCGCGGTCCGTGAGTTCGAGCCCCGCGTCGGGCTCTGGGCTGATGGCTCAGAGCCTGGAGCCTGTTTCCGATTCTGTGTCTCCCTCTCTCTCTGCCCCTCCCCCGTTCATGCTGTGTCTCTCTCTGTCCCAAAAATAAATAAACGTTGGAAAAAAATAAAAATAAAAAAAAATAAAATCAGAGGTTGAGTAACTTTGCTAGAACCATTTCAATAGAGGGGTTAAGAGGTGACATGGAGGGGCTTGGCGAGACAACGGGAGATGTGAAAACAGAGATAACTAGTATAGGCAAATGTTTAGAAGGGTTCTATGACAGGGCAGGGAGCAGACATATAGGGTGGAGAGTGAGAAAGGGAAGTGGGTCAAGGGAAGGCTGGTTTCAAATTTGGGTTTTACTTAGGCTCGTTTGCATGACAACAGAAGGAAGTCAGTAAAACCTGAAGAACAGATGGTACAGGAGCCAAAGCATGTCCGTGAAAAGGCAGAAGACGACGAGGCACATGGTACTACAGGAAGAGCCAACATTAGACACTATTCACAAGTTTCAAGCCGACGTTACGTCCATAACAAAATGACAATCATGGCAACTAATGTTTTTTAGCATTCCTGTGATAAGCGGTGTTCTAAATACTTCATATATATTATCTCGTGTAATCTTCATGAAATCTCCATCAAGTAGGTATAATTACCATCCCCGTTCTACACATGAGGAAACGGAACTCAGGAGAGTTAAAAACTTGCCCAAGAGTTTCCAGATAGCTAGGCAGCAGGTACCTGGGCTTGTGTGTCCCCATCTACCCTCTATAAACAATACAGAACAGTAAGGAAAACAAATAAAACTACACAAAAGCCATGCCTTCCACATAACAAGAAGGCACAGAATGCCCAGACTTCAACATAACTATAAGTAAAAATGGAGAAAACATCAAATCCCAGGGAGCACTCACTCACACTTCTGCCACATGCATTCACAGTAAGCAAGAGAGTCTTTCTGCAGGAAAGAGAGAAGAGGAAGCTAGCAGCAGACCTAAAATTGCTTTCAAACCACCACCAGGAAAAATAAACCCACCCTAAGTTTGTAAACACTAAAACATGATCTGGTGGAGCAGAGCACTCACTACTAAACGGGGCTTAAATGTACACATGATCTGAGGCAGCAAAGTGGCTTCTGGAGGAGAAAAAGACAAGAAGGAAGGGAGAGGCACCTTTTGGCACATGGGAGGCAAAGGGCGGGAAACAACAAAACAGGAAAAGCTAGCATCCTACAAAACAACAACAACAAAAATTAGAGGACATACAAACCACAAGAAAAAAAAAAAAAAAAAACCTGAAGAACTGAACTTTGCTACGGTCACAGAAGAGACTGTCACTGAATTAAGACTCTCATAAAGCACCCCAAATCCTCATAATGAACAGATGAAAACTAGTCAGTTCTTTATTTTATTTTATTTTTGAAAACTAATCAATTCTATACAAAGTTATTACCAAAAAAATTAA